TTCTAGCAATGCCACTGCATAGCGTTCAGGTATAATCCATTGAACGCTAAGACATTTCTCCAACTTGCTGATAATTTGTGGGTTCTTTGCAAAAGAAAAGGGTTGTCTTTTGACATCAAAATGAAGTGAGCTGAAACTTAATGCCTCAGATGGAAGACACCTAAACATACACCTATAACATATGCGTAATACTCGCAATATCATTTCATATTATTAGGTTGATTAGTTTTGATAGAACAACTTTTTTTTTATTAACTAAAATTGTAAAATAACTGAGTCAAATCATTATTGTTATTACTGTTATATTAGTAAAGAAGTAATGTTGTACGTTTATAGTGTCTTTAACTAATATATGACCTGAATAATATATGCTCAAATTCAGATAGTTTTACTCTTTTTAAATTTAGTTTAATTTCAAATACTTTTTTTATTGTATTGTATTTAAAGAAAGGCATTTAAAGACAGTTTTAAATGGGAAAAGATTGTAATTTTATTTGCAGACACAACACAATACCAAGACATTTCCAATAAATTTAAAATCTAATTACGCGCACCATTTAATAACGAATTTAGTACGTGAGCAATTTCCTATTCCGATTGCATTAAGAGAAACAAAATGAAAATAAAGCTGAGGAATGTAAAAGACTTCATTAGAAAAAATAATATTAGAAAAACTAGGAAAAATAAAATAAAATATGATAATTGCATAAACTGAAAAAATAATGTTTGCTCGTTTTAAACAATTTTTCTCCTTTAAGGAATGGTTTTTTTATAGAAAAACCTATGCAGAGATAAAAATGTAATACTGAATGATATATATGAAGATATAGCTAATGATATACATTTGTCAAAAATATTAAATTGAAGGTCTAATATGAATACTGAATCATGTTTAAGATGCAATCAAAAATAAATATCAATAGAAGATTAAACATCATTATGTTGAGGCTAGTTGAGTCAGTGCACTTGAGCACTTTTACTCTCTATTAACTGCGAGGTTTCTTCATAACCCCTCTCTACACCTTGACTGGATTATTGTGTATCACTTTAGCTGACTAAGCAATAACTGACCTTAGAGCTGCATACCACCCCGAGGAGCCTCTAACCATTCTGAGATTCGATAACGCGGTGATGGTAAGCCTGTCAGTTTCCGTAAATAATTTCAGGGCTCTATACTTTATGTATTTTTTGATCAGATCATTTTTGAGGACCTTGAGGATGGCATTCGTCCTAATGTATCACGGTATCTTGAAAAGTCTTTTCAGAGCCTGGTTTTGTGTAATTTGTACCAAAATAATAGTAGTGTTTGAGACCTTGCTGAACGCTACATATCCATATAGAAGTGACGGTGGAATTATTCGTATCAGCTTCCTGATATATTCCATTTGGACGTACACAAGGGAAGTTATTTATGTTGAAGTTGCAATTTGACCCTTTCTAATGTGGGTCAAATTCTTTTGAATAACTTCAACATTCACAATACGATGTTTTCATAGGCAAATGTTGCA